CTTGTCGATAATATTTTAGGCAAGAAAAAAAAATAAGAATTTCTATGCTTATTAGCGTTTATCAATGTATAATTAATGTACCATATGCCAATAGAAAAAAATTGAACGAAAAGCGGTCTTGAATAATAACTTAATAATTAGCACTTTCATTGATAATGATCAAAAAACATCACATTGGTTCATGTTTATTGAAAATCAATAGCTTGGTGGATGACTCGTTGAAAATTTGAAGTAAATAGTATTTTCAGAAGGGGTTTGTGGAGATTCTTAGAAATTTCACTGATTGAAATCATGAGTTAGTTGAAGCTAGACCACCATGGAAAACCTGAAGCACTGGATGGCCGTTTCGTCCTAGTACGCGAATCCTCAGCAGTGCTCATTCACGATCCTGCACCCCGCGACATTCAAACCCAGGACCTATCAGTTTTGCGCCAAGCGCTTAACCAACTAGACCACTGAGCCGGCATCCAACGGTGTTAATGTCTAACTTCAAGCAATCCACGAAGTTGCGCCACTGTATACTATTGTCTTCAATGAGCTGATATCTCACAACAGACCTGGTTGATCTCCACTGGTAACGGCTTCTCACTAGAACTCCAGGAGTATCTCTTGAAGTCAGTCACTAGTGAGCAGATGATGATTATTAGGAGTTTGTGCAGATTTCAGAAATTTAACAGGTTGAAATCATGAGTCAATTTAAGCTAGACCACCATGGAAAACCTGGAGGCACTAGACGGCCGTTTCGTCCTATTTTGGGATTCCTCAGCAGTGCGCATTCAGCTTCAATTAACTCATGATTTCAATCTGTTAAATAGTACTTTGTTTAATTTCTTATTATGAAAATCAGTATAGAATTGTGCCATTTATGTCCAACTGACATGTTCTAAATAAGACAAAACACTTATTCTGTATTCCAATGTTAACTACAACTGATTTATTCCATAGAAATACTACTATGATTATTATAACAATGTTATATTTAATTAATAAAGGTTTTTGTTATATCGTGTTACTGATATTCTTTAACTGAATTTTGATTAGTTTCAGTTAACATAAGTATTTCCTATAAGGATTATTTCAACATAGTCATTTTTCACAAGTTTTATTAGAGAGATGCTTTGTAACTCAGTAGTGGGATCTAGCATTTTTTATAATTTTGATGAGAAAGGCTCCGTGTTCGATTCTCGTAGGTGTTTATCAACTTCAGAATCCGAATACATCAAACTGACTTGTCCTAAATAAGGCAGAACACTAGATTCCACTTACTTACTTATATGCCTGTTACTCTTCGTGAAGGAGCATAGGCCGCTCACCAGCATTCTCCATCCAACCCTGTTCTGGGCAATCCTTTCCAGCTCTTTCCAGTTGTTATTCATCCTTTTCATATCTGCTTCTATTTCCCGACGTAATGTGTTCTTTGGTCATCCTCTTTTCCGCTTCCCTTCAGGATTCCAAGGTCGAGCTCGCCTCGTGATGTAGTTTGATGATTTACGTAATGTATGTCCTATCCATTTCCATCGTTTTTCCTAATTTCTTCTTCTATATTCCACTAATAATCACAATTCGCCTCTTACATAAAAATCATTCCTGTAATTGTATGTCGATGCTAGTGATGCTTTTCTTGGTCATTAGTCATAAAATTAATTTTTCTTTAGTATCTAAGTGTTTTAACCGTTAGTTGAAAGTTAAAGATGATTTATCATTTGTATAAGTTACTTGAATCTTTCCATTGATGTTTGAGATTAAAGTTGATCAGTCTCCTTTAGAATATGTACATTCTATACCTTACTGTCTCAGTATTTCCGTTGAGTAACAAGCATCATAAATAGGGTTGGATAATGATGGCATTAGACTATGCTTATGAAATAAGAACAAAAGTGTATTTTGCTGGCCAGCAAATTGTATTTTATTAACATCTGAGTAAAAAAATGAATAATACATAGGAATATTATGCTCCTGAAAAGATTAAAATTGATAAACCTGGCAATATCAAGAAAACAAAATGAACTATTGCAACTAATGAAGAGATATGATGGAACCAATTTATTAACTGCGAAAAAATTTTAGAAAACAACTCGAATCGAGATGGTGGAGAAGATTTGTAGCTCAGGTGGATGATTTCGATGGGGTTTTGTTCTCTGAGCTCAGAGAACAAAACCCCATCAAAAATAACTGGAACTGAAGTTCCTCATTAAAGTTTGAGATGTTTTTATGGATTTTTCTAAATAATTGATAATTTTCTTGATCTTTGATATCAATGTTTTATCTTTATAACTATTCGTCAATTCTCTCACTCTAAGCCCAACTGCTTACTCTGATCTAAACTTTACATTTTAACTTTAATCGATTTGGATTTTTAGGTGAAAAATCCTCCACATCTTGATCCGCTAAAAAAATAACTTTATCTTGCTAAAGTCATTTATGAATTGCTAAATTTCATCTGTCACGTTTCCTTACATAAGCTGAACCACACTATTGAATGATTTTGAGATCTTATCTATTAAGTCAAATAGAAGTTAGGGAGCTTATTACACACAGACTTGGACTTGGGATATACATTTGAGTAAACTGGTGTTACAACTGATGTCCAAAAACCTTTACGCTAACTTACAATACTAATGCTCAAAATTAATTCTTAACTGTATTTTGATAATTGTTTGTTACCTTAAAAAGGTTGTGCACTTACCATTGACGCGACGGTAAAGCCCAGATCCATCGTTTTTTCTTCATTGAAATATCTCCCTTTTTAAAAATCACTGAAACATCTTATTCATGATTTGTTTCATCACACTAAATGAGATCATGATAGACCAAGATACTTATTGTTAAGTTATTATTAAATTTTCAAATTAGACTGATATACACACTCATGATTATTGAAAGTAATTAACAAATGAAATTATGAAGTTTGTCTAACAGACTTTATACGTATTTTTACATGGTTTACCGTTTGTCATTATTGTTGTAAAATCGTGATGCAATATAATTTGAATGTCCAGATCAATAATACTTTTAACATTTTCTTACATTAATTAAATATTTATCAGTATGCGTTTGCGCGCGAAACCGAAGGCCCTAGGTTCGAGTTCCGCAAGCGGGTTCGTGGATGAGCACTGCTGATGAGTCCCATATTAGGACGAAACAGCCGTCCAGTAGTTCCAGGTTTTCTATGATGGTCTAGCTTAAATTAACTCATGAATTCAACTACTAAATTTCTACATGCTTCAGAAAAATAAAGGAGAAATTTATAAATTTCCATATTAAATCTTCTCGATATTGAAGCGCTCTGTAACGTTAAGCTAACAAATATTACCCTTACGAAATCATAAAATATTGGATAGCATGATATAAAGTCACTCAGCCTAGAAAATTAAATCATCGTTCTAGTAACTGATTCGAAGTTCGTATAAATATATAATATATACCTTTTGAAGTTAGTTTCAATGAATACAAATATTAGTTACTTACATTGAGAATAACGAATACAACTTTCTAGTGATATAAAGCTCGCCCACAAGAAAAATGAGTTTCTATTATTTCGATTAAGAAATTATAAAGACTAGAACAATTTAAGAAACAGTTTCTACATAAAATAAAATCATCTTGATAATCAAGAAAACCTATGAACTATTAGATAGCTATGAAATTCTTTAATGGAGAGCACTTATAACAGTAAACCAAGTCAAACACTTGAATATTAGTTACTGAGACAATCATAATGACTTAAATTGATAATTTTTGCATCCAACAATTCACATTTCTAATATCAATCAGTTTATAATATAAAACGACAACTGTTGAATCTTATTAGTGGAAAGTGACTAATTTTAAGTATGGTAGAACAAAACCCTAAATGGACTACTTTTTACTATATGACAAAATAACTATAATTAGATTTACAATAAATAAAAACAAATCTTATGCATCTGTTATTGTGATTCACTTTGGTTAATCGAATTTTCCTACTTCAATATTACTTAACATGTACACAGTTTTAACTGTACTTCCTGTTAAGAAATGACTTAATTTTACAAAACATTCTTCTAGAACATTGATTAACTTCGAGTATAATTGGGTATCACCTGCACAAGCAGATGACTATCAGGACTCAGTAGCTAAGTGGATAACGCGATGGCGTTTGTATCGAACGGTACCGCGTTCGAGTCCCAGAGTGAACATCAACTCCGCGATGTAGATACTTCCAGATGACGAGTCCAAATAGGATGAAACGCGCGTCCTGGATTCCACTACTAGCCACTATCCATCTTTGTTTAAGAAGCTTGTGATTATGAGTAACGGTTTGTTTCAGTTATCCCACTGTTGATATTTAAGATTAGATTTTGATTAGTTTGTTTTAGCATGTATGAATTCTCCATAGATTGTCAGAATATAGCCATTTTGTTATAAGTTATTTAGTAAAGGTGGAGTATGGTTAGACGAAATTCCGGAGTAGACGCCGTTTTGTCCTGGCTAGGATCTGTCATTTGGATGTAGCCGTTTATTCCCCGTGTTGATATTCACTTTGATACTCAAACCCAGTAGCTCATTGAGTAACATCTTGAGCGTTTAAAAAAACGAGTACTTGTTGCAAGTTTCAATATGAATATAAACACTATAAATTAGTAGGTGTGTTCAAATGACAACTCCTGTATGAGACGAAGCGTTCAAACTGAACACCATTTCTGGACACAATTCATATGTTCCACAAAAATCTACAGTCAATTTTGTATTCAACGATTATTTTTATCAGATGAGTTTTATGGATATTATAATAATTTCAATGGTTAAGATCATGAGTCAATTGAAGCTAGACCATCATGGAAAACCTGGGAGCATTGGACGGCCTATTGTGGGTCTCCAGTGCTTCCAGGTTTTCCATGATGGTCTAGCTTCAACTAACTCATGATCTTAACCATTGAGATTATTTTTATATAAGGAATTTATTGCACATTAAGTAGTTCTATTTCTATTTCTCTATTTTCTTTTCTGTTTACGTCTAGGTGTTATTATATTTTGGTGTATTCGACTACGTCATTTATATTTAAGTCAACGTCATACTAAAATGTATGATCCAGATATGTTTCAAAATAGTCAAATTAAAAATAATGGATCATTACATTATTCTAGTACATCACATCAACCAATGAATTCATTACAAAATTCATTAGCATCTATTAATCATTTACAAAAATATTCATTACCTTTAGGACAAATGATTAGCCCTTATTATAAACAACAACAATTTTTTCAATCCAATTTAAATCATTCTAATGAATATCATAATTCGACTATAGAGAATTCATTAAAACAATTACCTGATCATCAAATGAATTCTGACATGAATTTATATCTTGGAGAACGATCAAGTTATACAAATAATTCATATTCATCACAATCTCCTAGTAAGTATAAGTGAATAAATATGAATTTATGAATAACTATAGTTAAAATCCATGTGTAATCTGAAATTCGACTACTGGCTGGGACACGTGTTACGTATACCCAATCACCGACTGCCTCGACGTGTGATGTTTTATAGTGTAAGAGTAGGTTGGAAGAAAGTTAGGAGCGGCCAGAACAAAACATGGCACAAATCCATGAAGTTTGTGACAAGTGAACTGAGCCATGTTGGTAGGTGTAGACTATCTGGTTGGGATCCGCGAGGTGATAGCAACCGACGGTTAGAGACCTTGAATGACATGGCTCGAAATCGTTTGAAATGGTGCAGTTGTATCCACTCTTTGAGTTCTCCCAAATTCTAATCTTTTGAGCAACTGGCTTATTCTCAAGATAATTAGACTCTGAATATAACACCTTTTCATTAAAATCTAGACGTCCTTATCAGTGAATGAATGACGTTTTAAACCGAGTAGTAACAATGATTAGTTTGTTTTATCTTTAGATGAATAAATAGTTTTTTGTTTGAAGTGTTTTTTTTTAATTGTGGAGATAATTTCATTTTTAAAATACGGTGTTTTTGGCTATCTTCATCAGCACTGTTGTACTTGCATAATACTGGTACGTGCTACTGGAGACTGTAAACTCGTGATACTCAAATAAGAATGATAAGATGGTACATGAGGATTCAATTGTCCTTCAAAATGACTATTTGAATACACTGGTTTTTAAGTGATTTTACCTGTTCGGTTTGTGTAAATTAAACTGAATAGTGCTTGACATTAGTGAAATAGTAATTTAGTGAATAGACCTAGTTATACAATATCATAAAATTTGATTCATTGTCACTTGAAGAAGAAGCAAACATCACAGGTCCCTGATACTCTAAATAATTAGATATTTCCTCACCACATTATTCTAACATTATCAAATAAGATTCCATCGCTTTCTTTACTTCAGCTTCAACAGAATTAGTACAAACTTCAAATATAAGTTTTTCTCTAGGAAAACCATAAAAGCTTTATAATCTAATCATCCAAATCAAAGAATACTACTCCACTAAAACCAGTCTCTTAAACTACACCTTTTCTTCATCATCTCAAAATGTACTCACTGTTGATTGCTTTTAACCCATTTGGTCTTTGACTTTTCGGGAATTATTCTTTGAATCGAACTGAAAGAGGAATTAATGAATGTGAAAGGGTGTTTCAAGAAAAACGAATTCTAAATATTGTAGGTTGTAAACAGCTGATAAGAACCAAACGGAATAAAATGAATTCATATTATTTTGCACTAATCTTAGTTTTTATTCTCCTCAACACAACTGTTTTTACTGTTAATAATTTGGTATATTCACCCGCCCCACCAACATATAAAATTTGATCAGAATAACAACAACAACAACAACTATCGTACCAGAATAACTCATGAATTCATTTCCATTTCTTCGAATCTCTTCAGATGCTGACAGCTATAAAATAGAAAAACAAGTGGGTGTCATTTATGTCAGAGAAGCTTTGTGTAAAAAAAAAGAAAAAGGATTTGTTATCATTAGATTCACTTTTAATTTTCAATAAGATTTAATAGCAAGGCTGATTCATACACTTTCGGCTTACATACCCTTCTCTAATTTCAAACTCATGTTCGGTGCTTGTATGTGTGTGTGTACGTGAAGGGCTACATAGTGATAAATAATTATAAAAACTGGCGGTCACATCAGATGACAATTCTCAATTTTTTTTTACATATTAATTAATATCAGTGACTACTTATAATAGCACCTACATATTAATAATGAAAACAGATTTTCACATTCCATTCTAATTATGAAACAATGTGGTCAGTTTTTTGCAAAACGCCTCGTCAACTTTAACTGTGTAATTAGTATAGAGGATTTGTGGATATTGGAAAATTTTAAATTAAAGACTGATCTTGGCTAGAAAACTGTCAGAAACTATAAAACCTATTGTACAACTTCTCAGAAGTACTCATCCATCATGAGGTCATAGACTAATGGTTTCTAGCTCAGCGGTTAAACGGTTAAGTGTTCAATGCAAAATCCGAACATCATGATTTCAATCTTCAGTGTGATTGTGGATACAAAATGTTTAAGAGTTCTATAGTGCTAGAATGAAATAGCTTTTCAGTGCTTCTTAGTTTTCATTGATTGCCTGAATGAAAACAGTCTTTGATGTAGCCTATGAAATATAGCTGTATTTCTAACCATAATACATGGGATATTTTTAACTGTTTTCAACGATAGACTACTATTTCCCTAAAATCTTCAACTGTGTATTAACCCCTTTGTTCATAAATGTAAATACTGAATCATTATTTCCGTAACTGTGTTTACGATATGTCATATGTATTAACCTAGATTTGTAAAAAATATAAGATTTACTAGTGTTTGAATTAATAAATCTTTCATTATAAATGCAATGGTCTATTAGTTTTTAACAATGATTTATGGGCGTTGTCATTACTGTCCTTATTCCACTGTCGACTATATATTTTGATAAATGTGTATTGAACGAGAACTCAAGTAGGGGAAACCAATTTATTATTTTGTGCAAAATCATACAGGGTGTTAGTAAATTATGCAAATCATACATTACATATAGATCATATGCACAGTTTCTTTTCGTTGTTTCTTTACATACTCCAATATTCCTTTAATTATGTTGTTATTTCGATTGTTTTCAAACTTCTTTCCTATTCTCTTCATTGCAATCATCTTTTGGCAGGCATTGATTACTGCAATATACTACTTATATCTTTCAGCAAAAGCAACATGCATTACAATTACAAATATAGTCCATAAATAAGCAAATCAATTTGTATACATTTTCTGATTTGTATTTAACGCACAAACTGATGTAAAGGCAATTATGTTAAACTCATAGCCAATTCGTAACGGTCTACATTATTCAACGTGTACATAAACACAATGTGATATTAGTATATGGGTTGTGAAGATTATGAAGTTTTGATTGCGATCATGAATCGATTGGTGTTAGACCACCTTTGGGAACCTGGAAGCACTGGACGTCCGATTCGTCCTATTGTAGGACTCCTCAGCAGTGCTCATCCACGATCCCGCCTGCGGGATTCGAACCTAGGTCCTTCTATCTCGCGCGCGAACGCATAACCTACTGGACCACTGAGCCGGCATCCAATGGTGATAGTGTCTAAAATCAAGCAATCCACGAAATTGCGCAACCACCTTCCATACCTGTCTCTACCCGACATGGATTAGCTCCACTGGTCACGGCTTCTCACTAGAACTCCAAGAATTCCCTCACGAAGCTAGTGTGATATGTGTCAAAGCAGTAAGGGTTCAGAAATCAATTTGTTATTACTTATAATAGTTGAAAACAAAACAAAAGTTTTTTGAACACTTACGAAAAAGATAAGGTAATGGTATGTATTCAAAACTTAAAGAAATATAAAGAGATAGGATCACTTCAAATTGTTACAGACGTCAATTATCTTACTAACTATGACACCTCAAAATCTATAGATTAATCTCCCCTCTTGTGTTAACTTCCCCGAACCTTCTTCTTTGAAATGTTTTTCTAAGCTACGCAACATAAAACTTCTTAATGGGGTACGTAATAACCTAATACTTTGTTCTAAACTCAGTTATAAAGTTCATAGACATAACAGTTTTGTGTTTTTTTAAATGAAAGAATTGATCCTTTTTTGTGAGTGCATGTTTTATGAATGTTCAAAATTGATTCTCATCCTTCTTAATGTATTCATAACATCATTACTTGTAGACCTACCAAAGTAAAGAAAAAACCTAATTTGACAAATAATATGTAAATTGTGTACAATTGGATCAAAATGTTTCTTTATACTTATTCTTTGACAATACATTAGCGTTACTATTATTATTAATTACCGTCTTTCTTCTAAATATAGGAGTACAGTGGGCGTAATCGACAAATTACTAAGCTAATCGAATACATCTTCAATATACATGGTCTTATTACTATTATATTACAAATTACTATTATTATTATTACTATTATTATATTATTATTATTATTACAAATAATACAATTTTAATCTAATTTCTAGGTTTCTTTTTTCTTTCTGTTTTCTCAAAGCAACAATAAAAATCTCCATTTTATAGTAAATTAAAATCGAGTTGTCCATTAAAATGAATTGAGTTTCTTTGTGTACGTGTGTGTGTGTTAAGTTCGACAAATTTCTTAATAAAATGAAATTCATAATCTTTTTTTATGATTTATGTTGTATCTTTTACAATTTGTACTGTTTAAATGAATTAAGAACAATTCTCATCCACGATCTTATCTTACATGATTCGAACTTAGGACCTATCGGTCTCGTGCACGAACGCTTAACCTATAGATCACTGAGCTAGCATCGAACAGTGTTAATGTCTAACTTCAACTAATCTATGAAACGGTTGTTTAGTGCTTTCAGGTTTTTCATGATGGTCTAGCTTCAATCAACTCATGATTGTTATTGAAATGTATATGTCGTCTATCCTCGTATATAATCAGCGACTTAAATCGCGTTACTAAATAACGGAATCAAATAAGTCAAATATGAGAACGGTTTTTCGAATACTTATATTTCATACAATCGTTGATCCAGACAAAATATCGGAGAAGAGAAAAGAAGACTGGACTACCTTTTCCTGCTATCTGGATATTTCAACAAGTTATCTGTTTTTCTGTTTGTTTTAACATATGATTATGTCTATTAGTCTTATGAAACGTTTACCACATTTCCCTGTACAAATTACAAAAGAGCCCAATCACAGATATCGTGGTCGCTGGCAATATGCATTGAAAAGAATAAACATGATTCAGATGTCGATTCCTGAACTGCTAACTTCTAACTGTCGATCAAACCATATTTATTATCAGGATCGATCAAGAAATAGGGATAGAAAACATGTTAAAATACTTGTGCTGAGAATTCTAGATTGTACCAAAAATAGAATATTAAATAAAGCCATTAATAATAATAATATTAGTGATAATAATAAAGGATGAATAGCAACTGAAAAGAACTGAAAAGCAGTTCCCAGGACAGAGTTGGATGGAAAATGCTTGCGGGACGTCTATGCTCATCCACTAAGGGTAACAGGCCTAAGCAGGTAAATCAGTTCCAATCATCATCAACCTATAAATCAGTAAAAATTGAGAAATAATAAATATATTTCTCTAGCTTTTCAGTAATCCATATCCATTAGGTAAAACAGAGGTCAAATACAAATCGATTGATCATAGGGTAATGACTAATATCATGCTTATTTAGCCCTTCTTGTCATAAGTAAATTAATCCATGCAAATATTAAGTCTGTTACTTGGCTATAGGCAATATGGCTTACAAATTCAACACTTGAATGCGTAGAATCCCCAAGTCGCAAATTGAAAAGATAGAAGTAAACAGGAAAAGCATTACTAAAGTAAGTCCCGAAAATGTACGAGTCAATTTAAGGTTGTTGGTAAAGGCTATAACATCATTATAATTCAGCCAATCCGTACGTAGAAAATTTATACATTTATTCAATCACAGCATGTCACGTTAATATCCTAGAAAATTTTATCGGATTGTGGTTGGATTTATTCTCTTCTACTGCTTTAAATCCTTTGGAGGCTTCATCACACCTTCTGGGAGCCATCGTAACAGCGAAATCAATAGATCTGACAAAATACAATGCTTAAGCTATAATCCTAAACCCCGTGAAAGCTAGAGCAAAGTCAGATGATATTCAGGAGATCTAAATTTGTAATGGAATAACAACAAATTAGCAAATTAAAGTTAGAAAAAAAACCGATCAATTAATACCAAAAAGCACTATAAAAAACATATATAGATTGAAGCAAATGTCATGACCATTATTCGTGCATGTAAGGACAATTATTAACTAACAAAAAAACGATATAACCTGAAGTTATCCTATTAATCTGAAAGTTTAAACCATGAGAATAAAACTCAATTGAGGGGAGGAATTAAATTGGTAACATATTTGTGACACTGCTTGAAATACCCGGTTTCCTTTTTGTGAGTTTGATATTGTACAATCTTGATAATAAGCAACCTAAGTTGTGATATTTGCATTTAACGTACCCTAATTTCCAATGGTTGTTTAGCAACCATTGTTGCAACTGAATCAATCTAAATCTAATTATAATCAGAGAAGGGTGTTTTTGTGTATATTATAGTAATTTGATAGTTGAATTCATAAATCAATTGAAGCTAGACCACCATGGAAAACGTGGAAGCACTGGATGACCGTTTCGTCCTAGTATGGGACTCCTCAGCAGTGCTCATCCACGATCCCGCACCCCGCGAGATTCAAACCCAGGACCTATCAGTCTCACACGCGAGCGCTTAACCACTAGACCACTGAGTCGGCGTCCACCGGTGTTAATGTCTAACTTCAAGCAATCCACGGAGTTGCATCACCGTCCACCATTGTTATCAGTGAGTTCCTATCTCACAACAGACCCGGATGAACTCCACTGGTTTCGGTTGAGTGTCCTGACTTTTTCTATTCTTGATCTGCTATTTTTAATTGCTGCCTTCTTATTCTTCCTTTCTTGAATCTTGTCCGGGGTTTTCAAATAGATTCATTCCTTATGATGATACCTGTTGCTGCCCAGAACCTCCTAACACGTTGAAGTTAGTGCTTCTTTGATCCTTTTCCAATTTTCATTTATAGTGGTTTCCTTTTCTTCAAGTAAATCTTATAGAGCTTAGAACCTGTTGTTGTGAGTTATCTTGAATTCGTTGACTTTTTGAGTATCTCTAAAGAGGCCTGTATTGAACCCTTGTATTGCTGTTTTCCTAGTTGTCTGATGCTTTTATAGCTTCAGTTTCATCTTGTCAACCACAACCAGATGGTAATCTGAAGTTATATCAGTTCCCTTTCTGATCCTCATATCTTCCATTGTCCTTCGGAATTTTTAATAATACAAACATAATCAATCTGGTTCTCTGTAGCTTGAAACGAAACATATTGTTCTTGAATCTTTGTATCTAAGCTAATACTAATAAATTGTTTACAAGTATCCAATAGGACAAAACTTAATTTTTCCTTGAATTCCATTACTAGTCATTATTCTACTTCAGTAAAGAAAAGTTTTTTTTATAAACTTTTCATTGAAATATTATTGCATTAATTATTAAATATAATATACAGTCTCCTAATATTGATTAAAATATCGATTTTCCATTGTTTTATTATTATTATTATTATTATTATTATATAAATGATGATAATCCATTTTATTCCACCTTAAACTAAAATAATAACACCATTCATAAGGTAAAACTATTGATAGTTGTCAATTATAAAATACCCTTACATTTGTTCTAATGTATTTAATAGGGTTATTACCAAATCATTTTGTCTAGAGACTAAATAAGGCGTTCAGGTCTTCAGATATATATATATATATATATATATATATATATATATATATATATATATATATAGATATAGATATAGATATCTGTTTGTTATCATAAATTATATCCAAAGATTATCGATTTTTTTCTTCATGAATCAATTAAATAGATTATGTTTGTAAAACGGAAATTCTCAGACAGATCAGTTGAAATATATGGTTGATTTTTATCAATCCTGTGACCAAAAATATTCTCAAGTTATATATACATGGTTTCGAGTATACAAATTGGTTTTAATTCATAATCTATCGTAATGTATGTTCTGAATCTGCTTCGATCTGGGCACCCGGGCAGTATCACAGCCCTCACACAAATCGAATGATTTATGTGGCGCATATGTATTTAGTGCCTTCTTGTACCAATGTTTGTTTTTGTGTATGTTGTGAACTGGATACAACCGATATCTGCATGAATATATAACTTTCTATAAGATTGTTAGTAAATTATAAATTTAATATTGTTTAAAATGATAATTTATCATCTAGATGATAAGGAAACAATGGTGAATATAAGCAACGATGAATAATGGCTACCAGTGGAATCATGTTTGACGCGCGTTTCGTTCTATTTGGGACTCGTCAGCTGGATGTACCTGTATCGCCGAGTTGATGTTCATTCTGATACTCGAACCCAGTACTGTTCGGTTTAAATGCCATGGCGTTATCCACTTAGCTACTGAGTCCTGCTTGTGAAATGGGGTGAAGTTAAAAAATTCACTTAGTATTGTTTGTTTGAATCTTCTCATTGATGTTCAACACTACAATTAATCAGTCTCTTATTGGCATACCCACCTCTGCTTATAATGAATTAAAGCAATATTGAGGCAACAGGCACATGATGCACACATGCCAATAAGTGAGTGATCAGTTGCAGTGGTAAACATCAATGGGAAGATTCAAGTAAACAATACCAACTGAACTTAATAGTTAATCTAACTAGTTATTAAAATTTGATTAGGTAAATTTATTACCGTAGAAGGTGAAAATAGGTCGACGAGATAAGAAATCTTCATGTACTGAGATCATTAGGATGACTATTATGTATCCTTGACGATCAATGTTTTTTGATGGAGACTTAAGTTAGAAAAATAAAAGTTAGAAGTGGTCAAACCAAGAAGTGACATCAGTTCATGAATTGGGTTTTGTTGTTAGGTGCAAATCAATTGGTTGAGATCTATTCGCTTATCTTGACCATTGAATGGGATGATTCAAATTCATCTATTCATATTCTTTTTCAACTACCACTCATACCTTCAACATGTCTACTACTATAGAATTCGTTTTGATAATTTCTTTTCTCTGCTATAAAACAATGTAGTAATGTGAACCTTTCTTTCTTCTTTACTCCTGTTACCCCTTGTACCCCTTGCATTTCAAAGGTAGTCTTCTTCCCACAGATTAGCTAGAAAATTCCTTGGGTTCCGATTTCTGATGGAATTGTTATTCTTTACTCATTAATCCGACAATTCATAGTAGGACGAAACAATTTTATAAATTTTTCTTATTCTTTTTGTGTAAATTTTTGTAACTCTTATTATTTGTTTCTAAGTTGTTTGCTCTTTCTTTTTTCTAATTCATTTGATAGATTGGACTGATCAGCATTACTTTAATACAAATCATTTCAATGGTTCAACATTATTCGATGCTACATCTCCCAATTTTCAATCCTATAATAAACCTACAACCGATATAATGTTAACAGAGACGTCAACAACATTACCAACAATAAATGAACCAACTTGTTATCCAGTTTATGTTCATCCATTACAGTCTACCCTGAATAAATATAGATCTTCATCTAGTGAAAATCTATCATCACGACATCATAATTCAAGAATTAAATCAATTGCATTCATTACTCATTTAAGTGCATTTGGTTTAAAGAATAAACGACGTTTTTCACAATTAACAACAAAGAAATTAAGTAAACTAAAAGAAAATACTACTAGTCCTAATGATAATTATAATAATAAATCTGGTCAATTAAATCCTTTACCAATTGCAGAAGCTTATGAATCAGGAAGTTATCATAATCAAAATATGATATCTGATAATTTTGTAAGTAGTATATTTTCTGTTATACTGTCAATGATTGTTTTAAACCAAGTTATTAATACATAATGTAAACTATAAACATTCTAAAAAATGTTTACAAAGCCCTCTATAGTATTAATAATCCATACATTTATGAGTGACTAACTTCTCGAGGTAACTCCTGGAGCTCTCTTGTAAAAATGCTTAATTAATGAAATTCAAACATTTTAGGCATGAGGCAGAATATTGGAAACTGATTGAAGTTAGACATACAGAACATTAAATACCAACCGATTGCTATAATAGGTTAATGGATTGCCTTAAGACTTCAATGTCGTATGCCTGACCCACTTTGGTGTCTTGATTGCGCACTATTTACTTCCTATACGGAGGCAAAACAACTGTTCATTAATTCTTAGCTGCCGGTGATTACCATAGATTAGTCCAGTACGTATCCTATCGAAGTTAAGATAATTAGATAGATTTCGATTCCCTTGTTTTCCTGTTCATTTACTTAAATCGCTTGCATCAACCTATATATTTCTTGATAAAGTTGAAGATTACTTTTACGTATAGACACTAAATATATGACGTGATCATACTTGGCTAAATATTAAGTTTATTAGTACACGTGTTAAAGTGGTCAGGAGCAATAGACGATGATCATTAGCCACTTAATAAACTTCGGTTTTCCTAAAACTCTTTAATTAATTATTCAATAAACAACATAGCCATTCTGTTGTCACTTAATTATATATATATATAATACGAAAACCATACATTAAATACATTATTCGCATATCTTCACCCAGTTGTCCTTTGCATACTTCAAGATTCTTCTAATTCTGTTGTCACTTCGATTCCTCTCTGTTCTCCTTCCTTTTTCTCTTCAATTCAATCTCCTTTTAACAGACATTCCACTTCCGATTGCTGTTGCATACTACTTATACCTGTCAGCATGAGTAGCATGCACCACGAAAGTACTTTATAGGGATAAGCTGATCAGAATCAATAAAAATAATCTCGATTTAAAAAAAAACTTGAAACCGAATGCACATATATGCCCATAAGAGACTGATCAATTGCAGTCTTAAATAACAATGGGAAGATACAAGTAATAAACATCAAGTGAATTGAACTATTTAGTGTTTCCTCGTGTTTGGACGCCTGATACACCCATCCATAACGAGAATTATTTTCACATTATGCATACATTATATAGTATCTCCGTATAAGTAACTTAAACCATAACATCACTTGGTATTGTTTGGCTTGTATCTTCCCATTAAGGTTTAAGACTGCAATTGATCAGTTTGTTATTGGCATATGTGCATGCTGCGCGTATGCCTCGATATTGCATTAATTCACAAGCTTTTTGTAAGCAATGATGGATAGGAGCTAGCACTGGAATCAAGGACGCGCGTTTCATACTATTTGGGACTCGTCAGCTGGACGTACCTGCATCTGAGTTGATGTTCACTCTGGGACTCGAACCCAGTACCATTCGCTTCAAACGCTATCGCTTTATTCACTCAGCTACTGAGTCCTGATAGCCACTTGCTTTTGCAATGGAGTGAATTTAAATTCACTTGGTATTGTTTGGCTTGTATTTTCCCATTGAGGTTTAGGACTGCAATTGATCAGTCTGTTATTGGCTAGTTAAAAAAACAACTTAGGTTTCGACAACCAGATTAAATGTCCCATGATTTCACAACCTAGTTCCGTTTAAACAGCCTACTAGTATAACCAGAGAATATGAATAAAACACTTGACTTAACCCCAAATATGTAAACTTGTAATTAATAGATGAGATACCCTATTGACACTGTTGAAACACTTAGGATTAAACACTAACTTCCACTAATATTGCTCTTTTCTTCAATTTCCTTAATTCCATGCAGATTAAGAGATCCTTTTTCTTTTTAAGAAAAAACAGATCTATTTTAACTACACAATGCAACAATAAAAATGTTTAAGTTTTCTTATTTAAATACAACAAATTACAAACAACCATGGAGTAATCAAGAAGTAATAATTATTGAAACTGATTGATCATTAAGTACTAAATAATTTCATGTTTATCTAATTTTTTTCGTGTTAACCTGTTCATTTCAAGCTGAGTAACTCATTGTTGATGGATCAAACGATAAATCTATGTGACTTGAATTCGAATCTATCAAAAGGCTAGAAGTTCTCTCAAGATTTCAGATGTACTCTGTTGTGACGAGTTGCGAATATCACTAAAATCTTGATTGATGGTTTACTAGTGACTACCTCCAACCACCTACTGTAATAATAATTAGTTTGGCTGAAAATTTGCACTCAAATTCCTTTCGAAAGAATAATCTTGCTAATTTTCTTTTGTCATTAAGTTTACGTGTTGATTATTTTACTAAAACTAAAAGCTTTTACATCAAATGTTACTAATTATGTGAGAAATAGAATTTCTCTAGACCAATGCTCACAATTCAATAAATACAACAAACCCATAGTATTGGAGGATTTGTAAAGATTGTAGAAATTCCTTGGTTTAAATCACTAACTAATCTTAGTTAGACCACCATTGAAATCCTGGAAGCACTGTATTTCTGTTTCATCTCACTGAGGGACTCCTTAGCAATGCATATCCACGAACCTTCACCTGGGAGTCAAATCTATGACCTGTGATCTCCCACCTAATTGCTTATTCATTAGACCACTGAATCGCTGTATAATGGTGTGCGAGTTTGACCATGACCAATTCACACTGCTGCGTAACCCTTACTCATTTTCAGAGGTGGATAACTGTCACATACTCACTGGACGCCGGTTCAGTGGCCTAAAGGTTCAGGGCTAAAGTCCGAGGCCGAAAGTTCCAAGTTCAATTTCCGGGTGCCGAGTCGTAGATATGCACTGCTAAGGAGTTCTATACTGTGATGACAAGGCTTTTCAGTGATTCTGGATTCCCAGTAATGGTCTAACTACGACTTGTTAATGACGTAAATTTTAGAAAATACAATTCTTTTGACATAAAATCTCATTTTTCGAATAATCGTCGGTAAAAAACAAACAGTATTATTTATCAGCAAACTGATTCACATGATTTCTTCTAGTTTTCTGAAGTCGTTAACATCTACCATGCCTACTTAGCTGAATTTTACTTCAATATTCTCACCCACTTGTACATGTATACCAACAATTCTCTTAGTTCTAGAAATTCTACTGATTTCAAAATGACCTAAGTTCATGATGACAAAGCTTCAAATCAAAAATTGTACTCATGAACTGTTTCTTCTAGAACAGTCCAACTTATAGGATTTTAGCTACAATAAGATGTCAACTCATGGTATAACTCAAACCATTAATCTTGAAATTAGATGGTTGAAGGTAATAAACAAGTGACTTTAAATCATGGTTTCATGCTAGTTGACATACGTCCACAAGGCGTAACTTCAATCTTGAGAGGGGCGATAACCTCTATAGTATTCCTACAAGGTATCCCAGAGGCATTGTCACTGGGATATGTGATTAATCTCTTGTAGAAATGAAATACATAACTTAACTAATCACTGAGTATATAATTCGATTATCCCGTCGTTGATATTTTTGACTGAAATTTGGTCAGACTCGGTTGGCATATGAGGATCCTCTGCAGATTTTCTCGATATAGCCATTAGATTAAATGGAATATAGAAATGAGGACGTGCATTGCGCCCTATTCGTGACTCATCATCTGAATGTACCTGAATCTCAGATTCAACATTTACCGTTTGCTTCAAACTCCATCGCGTTACCCACTTAGTTGCTGATCATATTCTATCGATCAAGTTTTATTGTGACCACTGGTCTGAGTGACTTGACACTATTTATCTTAAAGCTGAACACATATTTTTTAAAACTGTAACTTAACCAAATATTAATGTAGAAATAATTATCAACAACATCATAAGATTTTAACATTCTTCTTCTTAAACAATAGTTACAATAATAATGATATTAGCTTAATACATAAATCATTATAAAATTCTTTAAATTCCACTTTTTATCAATATATAACCTTTCGGTGTAAATATCTTAGTCATACAGTTGGTCATACACGGTTTAAATAACTTAGTGGTAATTTGTTGGACTATGAGTCTTGATAATGCGAGTTCAAATCTGCCAATAAGCATTATTTTGCTCATTAATACAGGTACAACTAACTGACGTCTAACGAATATCATGACACTCAAGTGAAATGAGATTTCTGTTAAATGAATTCCAGCCGCATAACATATTAACATAATACACTTAAATTAGTGATCAGAATGTTATTTGAGTGATCAATCTCGGCCAACACCAAAGAAAAAGTTAAACACGACACTATTCACTAGTCAGTGGTCAATCAATTGTAAAGATATTACTACAAACGACAATATTTTTAAGTAAATAAGTAATTACCTCTATTCACTACATTATATCGATAAATAAACGTATGGACATCATTATGAATAGAAAATTATAATGCTTTTCTGTTTAACAATCCTGACTTCAAGAGATACTCCTGGAGTTCTAGTGAGAAGCCGTTGCCACTGGAGTTCAACTAGGTCTGTTGTGAGATATCAACTCACTGAAGACAATGGTGTACAGTGGCGCAACTTCGTGGATTGCTTGAAGTTAGACATTACCACCGTTGGATGCCGGCTCAGTGGTCTAGTTAGTTAAGCGCCTGGCGCGAACTGATAGGCCCTGGGTTCAAATCTTATGAAGTGCGGGATTGCGGATGCGCACTGCTGAGGAGTCCCGTACTAGGACGAAACGGCCGTCCAGTGTTTCCAGGTTATCCATGGTAGTCTAGCATCAATTGGCTCATGATTTAAACTATTGAAATTCCTAAAATCTCCGCAAAACTCCTTCTGAAATCAGAATTGTTAAACAGAAAAACGTTAATGTTTTCGGTGAGACTATAATTTATGGACGAACCAATCAGATTTACTATAACAGGTCTTGAATTTTGACGCGAAATTAATTTATTCTTTTGACGAAATAGAGTTTTGTCACTATAG